GTCCCTAAGACACAAGTTAACTTGAGGATGACGGGACTTGCTTTTATATGTGATAATAAAATTTAAAATATTTATTTTGTATTTTTATATTATATATTTGATAATCTTAAAAGAAATATGCACTTACCAACATTCTATAAATATATTAAAATTAATATCATTGTATTATATTAGATATATACATGGTGGTAGAGTGGACCATACATGTCAAGTGGCCAATTTCATGGGGTAAATTAATGTTTTTAATTTCTTAGACTATTTTGATTTTGATTTTTCTTTAATCCATCAATTTCACACGTTAAACGAGTAATGAGTCAAACTAATACACCGGTTTGTTTTTTTAATTAAAAACTAATTTAAAAGATTTAATTTTATATTATATTATTTAAAAGATAAAAATATATAATAACATTATAACTTAAGTTATAATAATCATTAAGAAAATTTTAGCATATAAATGTAGTAATAATTATTTTAATATATTTAATAGATATTAATTAATGAAGTAAAGACTTATGAACAATTATATAATCAATATATTTTAAATAAAACAAACGTGATTACGAGTCAAACCAATGATATATTTTAATGTAAAATAAATGTAAATGCAAGTACATGTGTTTTTGCTATAATTACAATAAACAAGAACTTTTCTGAAACAGGTAACCTTTTCTTTGTGTGTGATAAGTAAGAAAGTTCTTCATTTTCCTCTTTCTCGTATTAACAATCATTAAATATATATTAATGAAGAGAAAAAGAAAATAAATTTTTGTCCAAAAGATATTAATGATTTCCTAAAATAATTTAGTGTAAATAATTGAAAAAAATTTTATAAAATACAAGGAACGTTAAAATTAAAAAGAAATTGACTTCTAATAACTCATAGTTAAATATTATATCAAGTTTGATTTGTATTATTAGTATACTGAATCTTAAAATTCATCATTCATTATTGGTCGCACATGAAAATTTATTACACGACAATTAAAATAAAATAATGAAAAATATACACAAGAATCCCATGATAAGATTAGACTTCACTAATTAATAGTTTATGCTTTTATTTAATAATAATAGTTTTATAAGATATTATATATATATATAATAATATAGATAATATATATATATATATATATATATTATATATATATATATAGTAATTTTTGCTAACTCTTTGATTGATAACGGTGATAACTTTTATGTACAGAAAATTTTTATTAATTGTAGTGAGGTTAATTCAATCAAAAATTACCAATTTCAAATTAAAGCAACAAACAGGTTTTAATTCGTAAAAACAGTAAATAGAGGTTTAGAAAATTCTTAAGTGGTAAAAGGTGCAGGGGGAGAGAGAGAGAGAGAGATGAGACCGATAGAGATATATATAATAGATATATATATATTATATAGATATATATATATAATTGTCTTAAATCAACCCTCTAGATGTAGCCAATAATTTTTTTTAGGTGTTACGCAAGGTATTTAAAGATTATAAGACTTTTGAATTTACAGAGTGATTAGGGTACATTGAATTTTTCACAAAAAAAAAGTCTTCTCTAATATGCATCTGACCACACCAATTAGAATATCCCAACTCCCCTTCCTTTTATAAATTTTCATGCATCCATGCACCAAAATACACATCAAACATTTACAAAACCAGAAACCTTAGTTCCTCTTTTTATCCAACCATGTCTCTTGCTCTAAAACCTTTACTCTTGTTCCTCGTACTCTGTGCGTTGAATCCTTTTCCCTCTGTCGAGTCTGCAATTACATTTATAAGAACTCTCCAAAACCTGAGGGGCATTCGTAGGGGACAAAACGCGGATGGCGTAGGCAACCTCAGAAGCCACCTCAAAAATTTAGGCTACCAAGTAGACGACAAATCATCTTCCGACAACAACTTCGATGCAAACGATGAATCTGCTCTGAAACAGTACCAAGCTTTCCATGGCTTGCACACCAGTGGTGTGGTGGATGATCAAACCATCGAAACCATGAGCCTCCCACGTTGTGGATTGCCTGATATCACAGCCACTCCTAACCCTAACCCTAATGTTTTGTCGTCGTCGTCGCCCCCCCAAAACTACATTTACTTCCCTGGAATTCCAAAATGGAGCAAGTTTATCTTAATTTATCGAGTGACTTTAATTCCTTCATTTGTTTCCGTCAGCCTGAATGTCTTTATACAAGCATTGTGTAATGCCTTTAACACCTGGTGACAGAACAACAGTTTCACGTTCAATGAAACCACTGGTCTATCTGACATAGTCGCTGGCTTCCATCGTTTCTTCCACTTTGATTTTTACCCATTTGATGGGCGAGGTGGGGTTCTGGCACACGCTTTTGCTCCCCAAGATGGAAGAATGCACTTGGATGCAGATGAAAGGTGGAGCACTACAGGGATATCACCAACCATTGATCTTGAAACTGTTTGTTTGCATGAACTTGGTCACAATCTGGGTCTTGGACACAGTAACGATCCTAACGCGGTTATGGCACCCACATATGCAGGGGTACGACGGACTCTAAGACAAGATGATAAGGATGGTTTAAACAATCTATATGGGTTTTAAGAACTAGAACTTGAGAAATAATCTTCAGGTGTAGCATTTGTTTGGCCTAGGTGTGTCAGTAATTAATTTCATATATGCTGAAACCAGTTGCATGTACTACTATTAAGCAACAATTAAATAAGCCACCTACTACACTTGTGATCAAACTTGCCTTGTTATAATAATATTTACCAAGTAAGTAATTGGTTATCATAATATAACGGTTGAAAATTTAAATATGAGTACATTTAACGTAAATTAAAGAATAAAATTCATGGTTTTACTATTTTGAATTACAAGGGATATCAATTTTTTATTATATAAATTAGATTGATGTCATGTATGGTGTTTGATAAAATATATATATAAAAGTAACTTTGTTTAACTGTGGAACACAAATTTTATGTAAAGGGGAAATAAGAAATGAAAAATGAGAAATGATATTTGATCCACATAAATTTTTTATATTTATTTGATATTATTATTTTTTACTTTTTTTAAAAATATATATAAAAATTCATTCTTTTATAATATTTTATGCTTATGTATTAAATAAATGTAAATGAACGTAATCATACCATGAAAATCTCGAACCTAAACTGTCCTCTTTGATTGGCTTGCAAAAGCTTAATGCAGTAATTAATTTTCCTTTTTCAATATCCTCTGGACCAAATGAAATATCCTGTCATAATTTCAAAACTTTTAACTAAATAAACTTGTACTTGGAATCTATAACTAGCTATACCAAATATAACAAAATTGACGCGCTGAATACGTCCATAAAAAAGAAGAAATTACCTTATGAGGAAGTAAGTTGAATTCCAATCTTATTAATTAAAGTTTTTAGTAAGTGTAATTGATTGTCATACGGTCACATAGGTTTCTATCGGATAAGATCACCAAAGGAGGTGACTAGTCTAAATAGGTTGCGGTGAATATCACAATGCGTCATCCAACTAACTAAGATAATTGAACAATATTTGATAATTAATTGTATGCTCATGAAGAAAAAATGTCAGACGGACGGTCTCTAAGAATAAAGATTCCTAACCATCATTTCTAATCAAAATTTCAAAATTATTGGTAATAATTATTTAGTAGACAATGAATCATAATTGGATCATTATTAGGATTTGGTTAATCATAAGTTCATCTCGTATAAATAAATGATTACATTTGAATTTAAAATTTTTCTATCACTCTTAATCAAATTAGTTATTGACTTGAGTGTTAGAGTATTTTTGATAGATATATCCGAACGGTTTGAATTACAGACAAGAAAGAACTTTCACTAAAAACATTCAAAAATACATAAATCAATTCAAAGTAAAATGTAAAAGAGTTTGTGGAGATCACACCTGAGATAGTAAGTTTATCAAAATGTCAAATGAAGTTTTACCTATATTATTCTAGATGAAATTGTGGTGTTATTTGAATAAATTTAGCCAACTGTAATATAATTTAAAAAGTAAAAAAAATAAAATTATTTTTAAAATGTTTAGATATTTATAAAGTAAGTTTAATTTAAGTAACCTTAATTATTTTTAGCTCAATGTAATAAATGGATATTTATTTCGCATCAGATTATTTAATTAACGATAACAGAAACTACTTAATAATAAATATCAATTTTCCTTTTCTTAATATCGATCCCTGGACCAAATAAAGTTTCCATGGCAAAATTTTAAAAATTTTAATTAAGTAATTGGTTGAATCTTGTACTTGGAATCTATGACTAGTTATACCAAATATGTCGATAATAAAATGTTGTAATTAAAAATCAAATTAAAAGTTATAGTATCAGCTTTCAAAAGTCGACTTTAATAAATTGAGGTTTATGATTTTAGAGTCGGCTTGACATGTGAGACAGATAAATACTATTAAGGGTAAAGAGAAGAAAATTTCAATCTAGAATATCCAAAATTTCTTAACATAAAATTTAATAATGATATGACGACCCCTGGTTCACTGATCAAGCAGGTTGATAGATTATGACGTAATGTGTCTACTGTTATATTTCTATAATTAATTACTAATAAACGTCATTTATGTATGGTTTAATGTCACCGTAGGTCCCTATTTTGGTCATGAATTTCAAATAGGTCTTCTTTCTTTTGGGCGTATCAATGGAGTCCTTGTTTTTGTAAAATTGAATCGGTCTGCCGTTAAATTGGACAAACGGCCGTGACAGTATTTGTTACGTGGCACGGTCAGTGCAGTTACTAATCAGACGTGGCATTTAAAACGATTTTTGTATTAAATAATTGGTATGCACATATGTATATTCACTTTTGGGTAAGGGCATACTAGGAAAATTGAAAAACTTAAAGGGCAACCCCCTTTAATTGAGAAATGCAACTGAGATTGGAAAACAAATTGGGGGTTCTTACTATTAGGGTTCGCGTGAGGGAAAAAATCCCATTCTTTCTTCGATTCGAAGCGCCGGTGTTCGTGGGTGAAGATTATGTAGTTGGAAGTGGGAGGGTGCACGTTCTTTCTTCGATTCGAAGTGATGGATAATGAAGTGCAGAAGTCTGGAAGACCTAAAAGGAAAAGAAGACTGGAGTAGTGGGAGATCAGAAAGGATGATTCATGAGTGACTAAGGGTGGTTTGCGGAAGAGATGCGGGCTATGTAGGGAGGTTGGGCACAACAGGATGATTCTCTCTCCCTTCTTGTTGGTGTTGGTCAGATACAACTCATATGGACGTACGTAACTTCAACCCATAGGGACGTACGTAACTTCAAACACAAACACAACACACATTCTCTCCCTTCTTGTTGGTGTTGGTCAGATACAACTCATATGGATGTACGTAACTTCAACCCATAAGGACGTACGTAACTTCAAACACAAACATAACACACATTCTCTCTCCCTTCTTGTTGGTGTTGGTCAGATACAACTCATAGGGACGTACGTAACTTCAACCCATAGGGACGTACGTCCCTATGAGTTGTATCTGACCAACACCAATAAGAACGGAGAGAGAATGTGTGTTGTGTTTGTGTTTGAATTTACGTACGTCCCTATGGGTTGAAGTTACGTACGTCCCTATGATAAAACCTACAAAAATTTAGAAAGTCAAAGTTAAAGTTAAAGTTACGTACGTCCCTATGGGTTGAAGTTAAAGTTATGTACGTTCTTTTAACGCCTTTTAATGTTACTAAAGTGATAAACATTGTGAGTTCGTCATCTACATCACCGGACCTGCAAAGCAAAATCCAGAGAAGAACAGAAATGTCAGTCTCTCGCCGAACCTCCGCCGTGGCGCAACCATCTCCCTCACGTCTTCATCGTCAACCTGCAAGCAGAAAACCACAAGAGGCGCACCACCAGAAACCAACCCAGAATCTTCTCCACCATCACCAAGCATTATCGTCGCCGCTGTTGAAGCTACCATCGCACTGCCACTTTCTCCTTCGTCTCCATCAACCTGTGAATAAAAAACACACAGAATCCAATTCGCGGTGCAGGCAGGAAAGCCTTCTTCCAACTTCCAAAGCTAATTTGTTCCTCACACGAACCCTACCCCTAATTTTTTCCCCAATCTCAATTATATTTGTCAATTAAAGGGGTCTGCACTTAAAGTTTTTTATTATTCCCACTTTACCCTTCCAAAAAGCTTATTACACCACCACTATGCATTCATAATTTTTAATACAAAATTAGTTTATAATGCCACGTCTCATTAATGTGAACTCTGACCATGCCACGTAACCAACATTTAAACGGCCGTTTGCCCAATTTGACGGCAGACCTTTAATTGCTCAAATTTTACATAAAAAAGGACCCAATTGAGACGAAAAAAGAAAACGGACCTATTTAAAATTCCTAACCAAAATAGGGACCTACCGAGACATTAAACCTTTGTGTATAATACATAATCGACTTGTCCTTTGCTATATAATACATCGACATGTCTTGTGCTACGAATCACACATCTCATTTTCAGAATTTAAACGTTCTGAAATGTAGACAAATTTCAATTTATTAAATTTTAGTCTACTGTGAGGGTCGTTTTATGTGATATTGTTAGAATAAATGACTTTGTTCAAAATTATCTTATAAAATGGTTTTATATCAAGTTGATCAAGTTGACGTAAGACTATTAACTACTTTTTGATACTAAAGTATATACATTTTATGCAAAAGATTAAACATTAATAATGTGCGGTAGCTTGATAATGAATAAAATAATATATTTAATCACTTTGATATTATATTAAAAAGAAAATATTAAATTTAATTTAATTTCACAAACTTAATTTATAAATATATTTTAGAATATCAATTAACATATTTTAGAGTGGGTTCACACGTAAGCCAATCAACAAAGATATGATTATATAAAATAAATCAAACGCATAAATATCGTAGAAAGAAATTAAAAACATCATTATCCATTTTGTTTTAAGTCAGAATGTTTACTTCCGTACACACGACAATGCTATATTAATCTTTGTTGCATAATTGAGTTATCAAAGGTTCAACTATTTTACGAGGATAGGGTCTGTATTTTGATGTACTAGCTTCAAATTTAATTGAGACTTGTGAATACTTTTTGTTTCTGGTGATGGGAACGGGGAAAACTCCTGCTACCTCTGTCCAAAAACACTTCTTCTCAGCCGATCGGTCCTTTGTCCTTCGCCTTTCTTCTGCTCGTTCTCAGTATAAGTGGGGTGACCTGCAAGAAACACTCCGACGCTCAAGTCAGAATTGGTCTTTGCAAGTCTATGTAATTATCAAAAAACAGAGAGTTTACCTTCTCCTTCATGATTTCAGAGAATATTACCCATTAATTTACCTCTTAATGACTTTCAATGCTAATCTTAAATATTCGACAACGACCGTTACCTCATTAATTACACATTCATGAGCATTCAACCGCTGTCTCCAAACAGTTTTAGAGGCCCGCCCGATCGGACATATTAGACTTAAGGAACCCGATCGAACATATTAAACTTGAAAGACCCGATCGGACACGTCTGAACACTCCCGGTCGGTTACTCCGCCGGTAGTAACACTTTTCATCAAAATTTATGATATTTGCATAAGTATTGATGGTTGATGATTAAATTTTGCTGAAAATTTTAATTAGTTATTTCTAGTGAAAAATTTTCTTTCAAATACCAAAAGTGA